GGCACACACATGCCTGAACAGCCTCCCTGCCTTGAGTTTGGCCGTGAGCTTGTCCTTCCCAGTGCGTCTCTGCACCTCCCTCTCCTGCTCTAGAGCATGCTGTGGCTCCCCACTGCCCCCAGAGCAAAGACCAAACCCTTCTCCCTGCAGTCAAGCCCCACCCTGAGCTGGACCAAACCCACCCACACTCTGGACCAAGTGCGCCCACACCCAGACTCCTGTGGTCTCCAGCTCCGCCCCCCGCGGCCTTCCCCACCTCTCCTTGGAGAGGCTGGGCTCCACTCGGCCGCACCCTGGGGACTCGGGGCAGCCAGGGCCGGTGCACTCACCGGGAGGAGCTCGCAGGAGGTCCAGGGGTTCCTCTCCCGGCTGCTCAGGTCGGTCTGGTTCCCAGCTGGCAGCCCCAGGGCTGGGGAGGGCAGCAAGGGCTGCAGAGAAGACGGTACCATGACAGGTGGTCAGGGCCTGGGACTCCAGGACCTGCCAGGGCAAGCAGGGTTGGGCCCAAGGCCTCCGGCAGCATCACAGGCACCTCCCGCCAGGCCCAGCTCTGTGTCAGGGGCACGGAGGTGGGGACAGGGGAGTGGGGACGGGCGTGGAGTGGGGACGGGCACGGAGGTGGGGTCAGGGGCGTGGAGTGGGGACGGGCACAGAGGTGGGGTCAGGGGCGTGGAGTGGGGACGGGCACAGAGGTGGGGTCAGGGGCGTGGAGTGGGGACGGGCACAGAGGTGGGGTCAGGGGCGTGGAGTGGGGACGGGCACAGAGGTGGGGTCAGGGGCGTGGAGTGGGGACGGGCACAGAGGTGGGGTCAGGGGCGTGGAGTGGGGACGGGCACAGAGGTGGGGTCAGGGGCGTGGAGTGGGGACGGGCACAGAGGTGGGGTCAGGGGCGTGGAGTGGGGACGGGCACAGAGGTGGGGTCAGGGGCGTGGAGTGGGGACGGGCACAGAGGTGGGGTCAGGGGCGTGGAGTGGGGACGGGCACAGAGGTGGGGTCAGGGGCGTGGAGTGGGGACGGGCACAGAGGTGGGGTCAGGGGCGTGGAGTGGGGACGGGCACAGAGGTGGGGTCAGGGGCGTGGAGTGGGGACGGGCACAGAGGTGGGGTCAGGGGCGTGGAGTGGGGACGGGCACAGAGGTGGGGTCAGGGGCGTGGAGTGGGGACGGGCACAGAGGTGGGGTCAGGGGCGTGGAGTGGGGACGGGCACAGAGGTGGGGTCAGGGGCGTGGAGTGGGGACGGGCACAGAGGTGGGGTCAGGGGCGTGGAGTGGGGACGGGCACAGAGGTGGGGTCAGGGGCGTGGAGTGGGGACGGGCACAGAGGTGGGGTCAGGGGCGTGGAGTGGGGACGGGCACAGAGGTGGGGTCAGGGGCGTGGAGTGGGGACGGGCACAGAGGTGGGGTCAGGGGCGTGGAGTGGGGACGGGCACAGAGGTGGGGTCAGGGGCGTGGAGTGGGGACGGGCACAGAGGTGGGGTCAGGGGCGTGGAGTGGGGACGGGCACAGAGGTGGGGTCAGGGGCGTGGAGTGGGGACGGGCACAGAGGTGGGGTCAGGGGCGTGGAGTGGGGACGGGCACAGAGGTGGGGTCAGGGGCGTGGAGTGGGGACGGGCACAGAGGTGGGGTCAGGGGCGTGGAGTGGGGACGGGCACAGAGGTGGGGTCAGGGGCGTGGAGTGGGGACGGGCACAGAGGTGGGGTCAGGGGCGTGGAGTGGGGACGGGCACAGAGGTGGGGTCAGGGGCGTGGAGTGGGGACGGGCACAGAGGTGGGGTCAGGGGCGTGGAGTGGGGACGGGCACAGAGGTGGGGTCAGGGGCGTGGAGTGGGGACGGGCACAGAGGTGGGGTCAGGGGCGTGGAGTGGGGACGGGCACAGAGGTGGGGTCAGGGGCGTGGAGTGGGGACGGGCACAGAGGTGGGGTCAGGGGCGTGGAGTGGGGACGGGCACAGAGGTGGGGTCAGGGGCGTGGAGTGGGGACGGGCACAGAGGTGGGGTCAGGGGCGTGGAGTGGGGACGGGCACAGAGGTGGGGTCAGGGGCGTGGAGTGGGGACGGGCACAGAGGTGGGGTCAGGGGCGTGGAGTGGGGACGGGCACAGAGGTGGGGTCAGGGGCGTGGAGTGGGGACGGGCACAGAGGTGGGGTCAGGGGCGTGGAGTGGGGACGGGCACAGAGGTGGGGTCAGGGGCGTGGAGTGGGGACGGGCACAGAGGTGGGGTCAGGGGCGTGGAGTGGGGACGGGCACAGAGGTGGGGTCAGGGGCGTGGAGTGGGGACGGGCACAGAGGTGGGGTCAGGGGCGTGGAGTGGGGACGGGCACAGAGGTGGGGTCAGGGGCGTGGAGTGGGGACGGGCACAGAGGTGGGGTCAGGGGCGTGGAGTGGGGACGGGCACAGAGGTGGGGTCAGGGGCGTGGAGTGGGGACGGGCACAGAGGTGGGGTCAGGGGCGTGGAGTGGGGACGGGCACAGAGGTGGGGTCAGGGGCGTGGAGTGGGGACGGGCACAGAGGTGGGGTCAGGGGCGTGGAGTGGGGACGGGCACAGAGGTGGGGTCAGGGGCGTGGAGTGGGGACGGGCACAGAGGTGGGGTCAGGGGCGTGGAGTGGGGACGGGCACAGAGGTGGGGTCAGGGGCGTGGAGTGGGGACGGGCACAGAGGTGGGGTCAGGGGCGTGGAGTGGGGACGGGCACAGAGGTGGGGTCAGGGGCGTGGAGTGGGGACGGGCACAGAGGTGGGGTCAGGGGCGTGGAGTGGGGACGGGCACAGAGGTGGGGTCAGGGGCGTGGAGTGGGGACGGGCACAGAGGTGGGGTCAGGGGCGTGGAGTGGGGACGGGCACAGAGGTGGGGTCAGGGGCGTGGAGTGGGGACGGGCACAGAGGTGGGGTCAGGGGCGTGGAGTGGGGACGGGCACAGAGGTGGGGTCAGGGGCGTGGAGTGGGGACGGGCACAGAGGTGGGGTCAGGGGCGTGGAGTGGGGACGGGCACAGAGGTGGGGTCAGGGGCGTGGAGTGGGGACGGGCACAGAGGTGGGGTCAGGGGCGTGGAGTGGGGACGGGCACAGAGGTGGGGTCAGGGGCGTGGAGTGGGGACGGGCACAGAGGTGGGGTCAGGGGCGTGGAGTGGGGACGGGCACAGAGGTGGGGTCAGGGGCGTGGAGTGGGGACGGGCACAGAGGTGGGGTCAGGGGCGTGGAGTGGGGACGGGCACAGAGGTGGGGTCAGGGGCGTGGAGTGGGGACGGGCACAGAGGTGGGGTCAGGGGCGTGGAGTGGGGACGGGCACAGAGGTGGGGTCAGGGGCGTGGAGTGGGGACGGGCACAGAGGTGGGGTCAGGGGCGTGGAGTGGGGACGGGCACAGAGGTGGGGTCAGGGGCCTGGAGTGGGGAAGACCTCACTAGGTGTGGGGCCTGGAAGGACCGTAGGGACATGGACGTGGACACAGAGCCGGGCCCGAGAGGCAGGGGCCCCATGTCCTCCCAGCTTGAGCCCAGAACGGCCCCCAGTCTCCCCGAGGGTGAGATGGGCCTCCTCGGGGGGCCAGGAAGAAAGGACAGGGTGTCTGGGACACCGTGCTTCAGGACACCTCCTGTGGGGCTGGCCACGCGAGCTCCCTGGGACCCGAAACAGGAAAATGGGGGAGGAGCTCTCACCACCACGGAACCCCCAGGAGGCCCGGCCACAGGGCTGTGCGGAGGGTTCCGCCACGGGTGGCTTTTGGGCAACCAAACTCTTGGGGTCCAGAATTGGGAGGTTCCCGGGCTCAGGCCTGGCTCCCGCCACCAGGAGGCAGGCATAGGGTCCTCGCCAGGGCCCCTCCCCACCCGGCACCAGAACCCACCATGTTGACGATGGCGACGATGAGCAGGCTGCCCACGGT